AGAGTGAAACAGCCTAGATCTCTGGGTTCTAAGTGGTTTATCTTGATAGAGGTGGTTTASTATTTCCTTGAAATCAGTATTAACATTTCTTCTAAATGTGGCAACAAAACAAGAAATCAGAGAACACCCAATCCAATCTGTGTGTGTTTGTAATGGTACTATGAACAAGTGCTGCAGGGAAGAGGTACAGCACAAGGTCATGAATTTCTGCTGAAAGAAAGGAATATTTCCACATCTGCTGAAACATGTCAGAATTACTTAACTTTATTTAACTATTAGTCACAGYGATTGAGATGACTCACAATTAATCAGATTAGCACTGAAGATAGCTAAGGTTTCCCTTGCAAGGTATAGRATATTCTCAGCATGCAGTATTATCATCTTAGGCCACTATCACRAAAATCAATGTTTGGGTCATTTTTGATGAGAAGTCCTCAGGAAACAGGCAGAAACAGAAGACTGCATTTTTTATGCAACGAAACCAGGATCACTTCTGGTCCATGAATACAGTGTACGGCATTGAAAATCAGTAAATAACAGTGGTACTGTTCTCCCATCCAAGTTCACCTTACTGGTTTTCTACAGGAAGAAGAGGAAATAAAGCTACAGCACAATTGAGCACTTCGTAATTTCACATATAATTTAATTTCAGTGACATCTCTTTAGGGCTACTTCTGCATCCACTGTAGAGTCAATTCTGCATTTCACTTAAGAATCATATCCCACTACTCTCCAGWATCATGTTCTGGGAGCCCTGCTGCCTCCAGTTATGTCAGCAACCCAGGCAGAAGTGGGTTCTGTAGCTGTAAAATTTCTCTTTATGAAACTTTGACAGTATAAGTTTGCAGCTACACAGGACCACCAAGGCAAAATACTGTGTATTGATTAACCACAGACTGAAAGAAAAAGACTTACAAAGTCTCCCTAACCCAACCTCCTCTATGGGTGCTATGGGAAAAAAAAATTTAAAATCACTTCTCTCGCCTAAAATTGTTGGATTTTCTATGTTTGTCAGGCATACCCGACATAGGAAATTCTCTTGTCTATCATTCAACAGGCTATTCCTATCCAGGAAGTTTTGAAACTTCTGGYTCTTTCTTGTGGCTCATTCTTGATGTTTTGTTTCTTTTCCAAAAGCCATAAGCAGCTGTAATTAAACATGTTTCTATGATCTTCATACTGTTGTCCAAGAAAGATATTTTCAGTACAATTTTTCCCTCTGTTAAGAGAAATGTCCACATGCAATCAGTCTTCAGTTCATTCATTCAGGAAGAACAGGAAGCGCAAATCCCCACTTTGTCAACAAATGAGATCCTTGAAGCACAGCAGTTTTATAAAGGTATTAGATTAACTTCAAGAAAACGGAATTTGGATACTGAAAAACATTAACTAATAACAAGCTAAAAACATCATCATGCCACTACATAAATCTGTAGTTTGCTATGTATTGAATAATCTGTGCATGATTCCACTGCCTTGGGAAAAGGTACAGACCAAACCTGAGCACAGGCATRGAGTAGCTTCCATACAATTATTGAACAGGCTAAGGCTATTCCTCCTAGAAAGGAATACGGTGGAAACAAGATTATAAACAGGGAATAACAGTCATTGTCAGATTCAAAGATTGGGAATGTGAACTGAAATTAACAGGAAGTTCTAAAATGAAGGCTCATAGCTTCTTGGCAAACATTTCCACACCTGAACAGTTCCTTATTCTGAGAATTTACATGGGCTTAATAGGAATTGAAGGAATTCACAGAGGAGAAATCCATTAAAGACTACTACATATAAAATCATATTCCCAGCACAATAACATGAAGCCTGGACCTTAAGGAAGTTTTGTATTAAAAGGTTACTTTCTAATTTATCAGTTTTTTAAAAAAGTAAAATCCTGTTTCAGAAGGAAAAAAGGTTGTTTCTCACCAAGTTTTGGTAGCTGCTGTTGCTGCCTAGTTTAACTTAGTTTCCTWTTCATCTAGAAGTTCTACCAAAAAGTAAAAAATATCAAAATGTGCACAATTTTTTTAASAAAAAAGCAAGCCACCTCTCTGCCAATTCAAATACTTTATTTCTTCTACATTTGAAACACTGGGGGTTTTCTACCAGATGATATTTTGCCATGCTGCAGCATGGTCCTGTGATAAACTCAATCAAGGGCCCATAACAGCCACTTCAAAGGCCAATACCCAAGGCAGCAGCTGAAGTAGCTAAAAGTTAAATCAACATAAGGATGTTACAAAGGTCACGGTCTCTCTTCGAACATAAAAGGAACTGCATGCACAATCCAAAAGACATGCGTTGTTGTCTTTTACTAGTTCAACACACTCTTGCAATATATTGTTAATATCATAACTGAATTAACACACCAAACCAATAGAACACTTTCGTCTGGCCAAGGTCTGTCTGTATCATTTTTCACAACCAGGAATGTACCATTAAGCAGACAGAGCACTAGACACATTCCACAGCGACAKTGCAACGTACACAAAATACCCCACTGCACTTAAATCAAAGAATTACCTTGCTGACACCAGGAAGCCTCTGCTGAAGCACAGTAAAATGTACCTTCGGAAGGACTAGTGAAGTCTAAGGTTCATATTACTGCAAGCTGCCATCTTTTTCTGGACTTTATGACATTATATTTTTTAGTAAAGCACCATACAGACAAATTGATGATATTTCCTCATGGTTTTCAACTACTCTTTTTAGAAATTCAGTTCATCTTAAACTGGTAACATCTGCACTTGAAAGTTTAGAGTTCCTCATCCTTGAAGAGCAATGATACACTTTCTTGCATAAGAACTAAATGCCTATAAAAGCCCAGCTGAAAGTTACTGTGTTGCTGATGAAAGATGAAGGAAGYATCCTTCATGGCTGAGGTAACATTACACAGTGTGCTTGCAAGCATGGACCTTTATTCTACTCTAACAATTATAGGTTTGTCATCTCAGTTTTGCACATTGGACCATTTTCGCTCAATGACTTTTGAGGAAGTTTGTCTGCATTCTCCTCGCTGTAATAGGTGCCTCCTCCAGAGGATTCACAAGWGAGCAAGGGACAAGGATGGGTGAAAGGGTAAGAGTTTACAGAACCAGAATGAATCCAAGTCACAATGGTRCTTTATTCAGGCTATTTAGGATGGAGCATGGGAATAACACTTTAAAGGGCCAGCACAGGCTCAACAGCATGGAAACTTCTCATATACAGGCAACTGTCATTAAAACAGCTTTTAGCAGTCTAAGGAACTGTCCAATAGGGTAAGGCATTTATGTGAATTCTGTGCCCTCCTGAAATATCACCACTGTATTTACTTTCACAGAGACAACCTATATTTTATGTTTTAAATGAGAGAAGTTTAATCAATAAACAGAAAAAATTAGCATGATCATGTTTCTATAAAATGTATATATTTCCACTAATGCCTTCTGTTTATGAAAGGCTATTTACAGACAAACTCACAGCTAAAGAGTTTAATATTTAAAATATTTAATTGAATATGCTTTATATCCAAATAAAAATACAGTCTCCATCCTGAACTGGTTCAAGTCATGCATAAACTAATTGCTGGCAGGGATTCCCCATCTCAAGCAGGTTTAAGTCATACTTAAAAAATCTCACTCTGCAAAGCAAAGTAACTTGAAACTTCCACTAACTTAATAATCACAAAAAGATGACAAAACAGGTTGCACAGTTGAAAGGGATGTTTTTATTTCAAGAAAAGTATCAGCAGTAACTTCAATGGCTTTATTTACATCTATCCCAGATGAAGTTAAAAAAAAAAAAGAAATTGTCACAGGAGTACAAAAATTTGCATTAAGTGTGTTTACTTTTTCATAATTCAAAAGGCAATACAAATCAATGTGTAGAGCACAGGATTTCCCACTGCACCTGTCTGACTGTACTTCATCTGCCTCACCTTTTGAACATTCTATCTAAAGATGCCTAAATACCATGCTCCTTTTCARTAAATTGTCTTTGAATGAAGTATGGAAGGAATGCAGTAAATACAAAATCTCACAYGAGAAATGACACACCATTTGTGAAAAGCGTGGCTTTCATTATGTTAATGGATGGCAAATGTTCAGGTCCATGAGGGTAATCACTCAGTTCCTGGAGATCATAATGTTACTAAGGCTCTTAAAGTGGCTAGGGATTTGAGACACTGTTCAAAAAGAAATTCTCAGTAAAGGAGATATTATTTTGAATTGATCATCTCATAATTGGCTGCAGATGCAAGCTCATGAAGATGAAAATTTAAGCACATTACAAACTTGGGAGTTCTTGAGTTGCCATACATCACCTGCAAGCACTCAAGTTTCTGTGCCACTGCAGTATAACCCTTTAGCTAAAGTAAACCAGCTGGAGAGTACCAACATCCCAACTATTCACAGAAAGCTGCTGAAGCTTATGGAAGTTAAAACTTACTAACTCAAGTGAGGGACAACTGGAAGGTTTCTAAAGAGCCCAAATGCATCACAATACCAAGACTTGAAGTATGATTCACTTTCATGTGAATAACWAAGACTATTGACAAAACCTCAAAGAAACTGTATGAGCTTTTGAAGGGAACGGCATTGTTATGGTGGAGAGTGTATGATGAATGTAAGTGCTCAACAAATTAAGTTATTTCTMGTACTTTGAGGTATTGCTTTCAGGTTCAAAGGATGAAGTCTTTCTTTGGGAAGATTTTATTTACTCCAGGATTGCCTCAAATGAAAATTGCTTATTTCTTTGTGGAAAAGCACATTGTTACTCAAAGACTATACTATACTATGTACAACAGTAAATACTGGAGAAGTTATTTTATTTCTGTTCATTTTAGAGGCAACTTAGCAACTATTTTCTCTAGAAGAAATCTGAGATACCTTCATTTTACCTTCGCTGGTTGTGGAAAGAACAAAAAAAMCAGGAAAACAAGGAAAAAATCTTGAAAGAAATAAATAAACACAAGGAATAMCTTCAGCTGATTTAGCTAAATGAATGAAAGAAAATATTGGTACCTTTGATGAGACTATTCTGTTATCTGGAAATCTCTGYGGAATGTATGCTTCAGCGCCTGGAGGTGGCTCACGATGCCCAACATAAATAGTGCGACTGTCCACCCAATTCTCTTCTCCAGCACACTGTGGRGGAAAGAAAAGTTACTGTATCAGTTCACTTAGTATTTCTGCAGTAAAATGAGTCACACACTGCATAACTAATCATGTSTGACCATCAACACATACACAGCCACCAGCGCATGACCCCTCACACTTTCCTGTATCATCTCAAGATCACCAAAACACCTAAGGCCAAGTCAAATGTCAAAACACTTCCTTCATTGCACTGTACTTGCCCACAATGCAATGAAAGGGCATCCATGAAAATCACTATTCTCACTTTTCTGTTTATAGCTGAAAAAAGGACAAATGGTTTAAGATTTTCAGTCAACTTATGTATTTAGTAAATATTTATATGGTTGCTTCTCATTTTACCACTGATAAAAATCTGTGCTAACTAAAATATTTTATAAATATGGAAAATCTCACATTTTTGAGAAGAGCCAGCCATAACTTGGTATTTYATTTGCAGCGAAGTGAAACTCAACTCTCCTGAAATACTAATAGTAATCATTTCCCTACTCATGAACAAGCTTAGTGGCTCTTAGGTTGCCAGGAAAATATCTCAGCTTGTCAACTCAGAGCACTTGCTCTTCTAGGAAAGCTGTGCCTATGAGCAGAAAAAAGAAGTAGATGTGCCAAATGTTCACATTCACATCAAACTCCACCACACCCTATAGCTTCCCTAAAATTAATATTTCAATGTGTCCTATTAACTGTAAAAAAAAGTACAAATCACTGTAGAAAAGTATTTACATCAAACCGAAATAACAAATTTTTTAAATTTAGAAATTAATTTGAGGGGGATACATGGATTATAAAATAAACATCCCTTAGTCATCAGTCTAGATCACTTTCTACATATTTTATTGTTGAAATAGACATACCAAATCTTGCAATGCTCAGCAAATTTGGARCAGTTAAGCAAATAAAATTATTACCTATGTGATGTGCATTACTTTCTTGAGGCTRGGGAGAACATCAAAAATATAAAGAGAAAATCTATTGGACTCAGACTATTAACCACAGTTTAGCTGAGTAGTAGTCATCAAGTAAAATGTAAAGTGAAGGATTAAAGAAAAGCAACTTCTGCTATCCCAGAAGTAGATACTAGAAGCAGACCCAAAAAGGACCCTAAACCATTACTTGATTCTTRCAAGTGACAGAAAAATGGAGGCATCATGTTCAGAAGATACCAAAATGCCATAATTACAAGACTAGGAATAAAACTAAAACCAAAAGTAAACCCCAAATTTTTCTGATGYATTATTCAATTTTCCATAACTTGAAAGAGTCACTTAATACATTAAATGAAGTTGTTCCCAAAGGAAGTAAAAATGACAGCCATTCATTAGACACACCAATGGSCCAGTCAGGGCTTATGCTAAACCCYGTAACTGCTCCTGGCTCAGTGGGAGGGGACACAACAACATTTCTCCCATGCCACATCTAGCATGGACCGAAACTAGGACATGGGTCAGTATAAAAATTGCATTGATTTTCCAGTCAGACAACTTCTTCCTTATCAAGTGGACTGGTCAAAAAGTMAAGTGCCATTCAGCCTGCTTCCGAACACCAGGTAACATTCTTTGAGCAAGCAAGCCAAAATATTTTAGAAGAAAGTAAAGCTGGACAATGTTYCCATATTCCACCTTATTTCTATGACAATAACAAAACATGCTATCTTTTACCATTTCATTGGTACAAAATACTTTATCTTGCCAGTGCACTGCAGGAACAATGTACAATGCACAGAAATKATCTACTGACACTTGTACTAAGGAATTCTCATAGGAATACAAAGTAATGTGAAATATTCCTGAATAACGCATTAAACTGTACAACGTTTTAAAGTTTTTCATTAGGAAGGACGTTTCAGACAAACACAACACAAAATACTACTCCTGATAAGYGAAGTGCCTGAGTTCAGAGATGATTACATAAAGGGCTAATGGGAATACCATACAAGCTTTGAACACCAAGAAGAAATTCCTCAGCTTCTTCCCTTTACGGGGSCCCAGTTTGACAATTTATCTCATATATATTATGAACGAGTCCAAGACAGCTTGACAATGCTGCTAGTTCAGCAAAGCATTTTTTAAAGTTTCACTGAATACAGAGAGCATTTATCATGATTCAGTTGAAACCGGCCTGTGAAATGGTCTATGAAACTGGGAAGACAGAGATTGAAACAGCACTCTCCTGCATTACTACCAGTATTTACAGGTCTGATAGCCCTGGAGTTTTGTCAACACTAAATAAACCAACCACTCTGGAATTTGCATCCCTAAAGCAAGGCTCTACAAAATTTACTTTAAGCTTCAATACGAAACTAAGACAATCTCTTCTATTAGCTTAATTTGATTTGGTTTTTTCATGAATTGAAAAATCTACCACAAGTACAAAACCATATCTAACTCAAACTATCTGCTATCACAGAACATTTTTTATTTTTCACTGTGTTAGTAGAAAATAAATGCACTTTACTATCCTAATTCAACACTTTTAAACCTCCGAACCACTCCCAGTTCAAGTGTAAAAACTAAGCAKGGAAGAGTAAGGCTCTCTTTGCCAGTGAGGTCAAACTGCAATGCACAGTCACRTGCACTGTTCAATATGGTAACAATGCAACTCACTTGTGTGAAGCAGAAAAAGATACTTTTAGAAAAACAGCACTGTAAGTCAGGACACAGGCCATGTAGAGAAGTCAAATCTCACCAACTGAATGTCAGGGAATGCCAAGCTCCAAAGTCAAACACTCTGATTTGAAAGTTCTTTTAGTGTTCTGGTATTACAATTTACAGAATGACACCAGAGTCACTGAAAAAACCAGTCTGATGCTGATGCCAGAACAATAAACTATATTAATTTCTTTTTTTTTTTAGGTTCCATTGCTTAAGCCCATTAAGAGTATGTCCAAGAAACCATAAATAAACCTTAGCATTATCTGCTTCTATTTATAGTGTAAAGCTCAATGTACTGAGACCTAGTTTTATTGGYATATCAATGAAATGTTACATAGCTTTTATTCTTTCAAGCAGTGTCAGCAACCATGAAAGCAAAGACCAGCAAAAGACTAAGGCATCTTTTCCTAACACTAAAGAGAGACAGTGAACAGGATTTTAGAGTTTAAATATTTCTGCAGCTTTTTTTTCTGATTTAAAAAATCAAACTGTTACTAGCTTGAAATTCACCTTCATGCTACTCTGGTAATTTTTATCAAGATTTCATTTTAAGAAAAAAAAATCTTGCCTGAAAAGACCAGGGTTTGGTATTYCATAGGTGACAGTAAAAGGATGATACAAAGATGCTAGTGGTAGCTACTGGAAAAGTAATGACTTTGAAAGGTTTCTAGTCTTTTCACATCTTTTCACATATTTTCAGTAAGGAGATTTAATGTATGATTTTGAAATCAGGGATAACACTGAATKACATTTCCTTACTCTCCACTTGAACTATTAACTTGGCCATAATTACCAGCAACAATATTCAGTTCAAAATTATATTTTCTCTCCAGATAACACATACACAAACACTAGTCAAATAAGTTAATATGCACWAAGTACAGCTGAAAACTCAGAAACAATCTGGTCTGGCCAGGCTTTAAATACATTTAATTGAACAGTATTCTCTCATACGTTTTTCTAAATGCTTTCTGATTAAAAGAAATCTAACCACACATTGGACAGTAACAAATTCTCAGCATCAGCTTTACACTTGCCCATCCAGGCTGTGACTCCACTACTCCACACAGAAAAGGACTTTACACCGTTGAGGCAGGCTTTCCGAACAGGCTGGTGTTTTATTGAAACACTAATATTTGATGCCAATTAAGCAATTAGCACCACTGTCCAAACTGCACACAGAACACAGCTGCTCAATCACTTTGGAGTTTCAGGATAACAGATACTGACAAGCCATTATCACTCAGAATCTACAGGAAGAACTAATGGTGCACAGTGTGAAAAAACATTCACGCATTACAACAGCTCGGCACTAAAGGCTCTCAGTTTTCAATTTTTCATTTAGTGAAGAGCAACAACTTCAATATCTCAAAGCTATAATTCACTAAAGTGAAGAGAAAAAACAGTTGTCTTCCTTTCTAATGTTGTAAGGAAACCATCATTATCACGCACTATTTACCAAACTATGAGATCATATAATCTCATATTTGTCCTTATTTGTCAAATGTGCTGAGTACCTGCTCTTTTACATTTGACATCATTCTGCAGGAATAGGTGCAGCCATCTCCCTTTGTAAACAATGGCACAGCGTGCAGATTTTCACATAACCTTCCAACTCCTACCTTTTAAGGATAGATTTGATCTATAGTTCACAAAATCCATCTAAAGAAATAATCATTTTAAAATAATATACATGTTCTAAAATTGCTAACGAGRAAAATAGATTAAGCTTTTAAATAAGCCACTTTGGCAAAAAATTGCTTTCATTTATTTRTATATATTTGTGGAGATAAAGGGTGAAATTCTCATCTGCTTAAAGGATCTCAGTAAGATTTCAAATGATAGGCAAACTCACTAATATTTACCTATATAGAGGGCTTCACATTTTGTTCACAGTGTTATACCAACCCTTCATATGAATTGGCCAAGATCAGAATGAAGAGTGTAACTTTGAAAGCTGGTAAGATTGTTATGTTTCATATGAACATAGAAGAGTACAGATAAAACAATATAATTATCACATAAATATCCTACAGGTTTACAAGTTTTATAATCTGAAAAAGGACTACCTCAATATGAGACACTAAACATARAGTAAACTGCTTCATTCACCTATAAATCATGGACATATGCCACTAAACAACTAATTTAATGGGATACCAAAATGCAGCTCTTCAGAGGCAACCACAAAAACCAAAAAACCAAACGAACTCCAGAACTCTCTCTTAGAAACTCCTATGATAATTAACACATTTCCTAGGGATCACCCATAACAGGATCTATTGCCACAGAATATTTATTACCACATTTCGTTTCAGTAAATGAATTGTAAATTCTGGG